TGGGAACTAGGTGGGCTTTAAGGCCCCTTCCAACTCAAACCATTCTGTGATTATATGATAAGGAAACGCACAGTTCAGCATTTTAAGAACACTACACGCTGTTGGCACAGCAGCGATTTCATTCTGGGTGCATCCGGCCTGACTCTCCATGCAGTTACACAGCTCTTAGGCAAGTCAAATCCCAGTATTGGCATAAAAATGGTGCAACAGGAAAACACACTTGATTCTACATCCAGATCAACAGATGCTATTCGACCTAAACAAATAAAGTGTTTAGCAAATAAAGTTTCACTGCATCTGGAGAAGGTGGTAGGCATTAAAACAAAATACCTTTTTTATAATTGAAAATGCCAAGAGGAAGTAACAGAAAGCTGTAAGAAAGCTACTCTGACAATACTGCTGTCTTAAAACCAATATTTACTCTAATATTTAACAGAAGGAAGACATTTCTTTGTATTGTAAGTCAAAGAAACAGAAAGCAGTCTGGAGATACGTAGGAGATTAAAATAGTTGCCACAAATTTAAATGAAATGGCAAATTGCGGAACCTAACAAGGAAAAGGTATGGTAGCTTTCTGCAGAAGAATTCAGGAAGAAGAGGGTTTGTTCATACAGTCCTGTGACATGGTAGCAGAAAGGGTTGAGTAGTGAAATGAATAAGAAATAAATAAACAAAAAACTATTTCTACCACATTTCTACCACAGGAGACAATACACTGCAACCAATACATTTCTTGTACAACATTTAAACTGTATTTGTGTAAGTAATAAATAATGGCTTGAGAAATGGTGAGATATGGTGTGATCACAAATGGAAACTTAGTAACTGGAAAAGGTTTATGGAGATTTGGGTCATATTCTGAATGTGACTTCTAAAGCTTTTGATTTGTGATAACAAAATTGGGTTTGTGGTTTATTTGTTTATTTGTGAGGAATTGGCTTATTTGGTGGGATTTCTTTACTAATCAGTTGCTTGCTGAATAAACTGCTACAGCCAGCTACACATCAGAAGCAAGTGCATTAAAGCAAGTGCAGCTTGCTTTAATGTGGTTTTCCTGAACAAAGCAACGTCTGCTAACTTGTGTGCAACACTGATAGCTCTTCTGGGTTTGTTGATTTTGGGGTTTTTTTGTGGGTTGGGTATTTTTGTTGATGTTGTTTTGTTTGGAGTTTTTTTTGGGGGGGGTTGTTGAGGAATCAGGCCAAATTGGAGTAGTCTTGCAGTCACTGAGCACTAAGAGTGCTGAGAACATGTAAGTAATATGTTGCCTATGTCAAAATGAATGAATAGATTTTCTTAGGTCAAGGAAGAGCTGTAACTCTTGTGCCCTATTCTTAATAATTTCAACACATACTGTTAGCCATGTCAGTACGTGAAAACGTAAAAAAATATTGTAAGTGTCTACCTTCAGTAGATACAGCTCTAACCATAATATGACGCAAATGGACTTGATCGTGATTTTCCAGATAAAGCATTAGTAAACACTAAGCTAAAATGCTGATTTCTTTATGTGACTTTTGCATACTTTTTTTTTCCCCAGTCAGACTGATTAACTATAGAATTTATTTTTGAGTACTTGCAT